ACACACACACACACACACACACACACACACACACACACACACACTACTATATATATATATATATATATATATATATATACATACATATACGTTACACATCTTATTATTCTTATTAGACAGATATAACGACACGCATATATATATATATATACAGTTTTTTATGCGTTTTTGCGCTGTGATGCGCGATATATAACAACCGTAGTTGCCACATTGATCGCAAAATATGCAATCATAATTATGTTTTAATACGTGAATTTGGCCTATTTATTTGAAAATACAGTGGTCCCCGCTTAATCGGGACAGGTCGAAACGTCCCTATTAAGCGGTGCTCCGCAGTTAAATGGATAACAGATAACAACGTGCGTAAGGATTCTTTTTTTCGTAGACATGTGTCGTTTAAGCGGTGCGCCCGGTCATCCGAGGCCCGATAAAACGGGGACGATTGTATTACGTTCCACAGTCGATACGGCATCTTGTACGCTCAGTAAATACCACACACCGAAATAGGACGCTTTCAATAATCTTTCTTTAATTTGGACATCACTATAACTTGTCAAATGTAATTTATAAAATGAGAAAATATATAATAAATATGAGTAATGCTTCCAATTTCGCGCGTTAAATTGTTTTTGTTCTTTTGATATTCTTAGAAAGAACACATAATATTGACTTTCGAGAAAGATATTCGTTGATATAATTTCTGCAGTAATTTATTGAACTATGAAAGCATCGAACTATTAATTGCATAGTCTCGGTCGGTATCCACAACGCTCGAACACCATCTGGTCTTATCGGCTGTTTGTTCACTTGAGAATGCTTACTGAATGCCTGCATGCATAATAACTATTCACGCATGCGCACATCGTGCTTTCTCTGCGCATATAGCAAACAAAAACTCGTCCCTTCTTCGCTTCAAACGAACGTTCGCCATCATTTATTCCCTTTTTCTTTCCAGTGAAACCCCCGGTGTCGCTAGATTATGGATACATGACGTCACAGCCGGTGAGCGGCGGCGGCGGCGGTGTAGGCGGCGGCGGCGGCGGAGTGAACAACAGTGGCAGGACGAATTTCACAAATCGGCAGCTGACGGAACTGGAAAAGGAATTCCACTTTAACAAATACCTGACGCGAGCGCGACGCATAGAGATCGCTGCGTCGCTCGGCCTCAACGAGACGCAAGTGAAAATCTGGTTCCAGAATCGACGCATGAAGCAGAAGAAGCGCATAAGGGAAGGTCTGGCACCGCCGCTAATTCAGCAGACGACCGACGAATCAAGCGGCTCGGATAAGAGCAAGGACGCGAGCGACCCTCCCGTCGATACGCCCGTGTCTCTCGCTCCATCGTCCACATCCTAAGTCCTTCACGTTACGATCGTAAATACGTGCATACACGTTACATGCTGTCTTTCTATATATATGACCCACGTCCGTCTTTGTTGGATGTGTTGTCAACATGAAGCTCACTGACGCTAGATACACGGACAGCTTCAGTTTGGGCTCATCGTCATTACCAATCTAATTAGCTGTGCTGCAGCTTACGCCCGATATACGAAATACCGAATGCCTCCTGGAATTGCGTTGCCGCTTGAAAGATAAATTTGAAAGTTAGATTTTTGGAGAACGCCCGGGGACCTTTGTCATTATTGAAACAACGCAGACATTAAAAAGTGCGAACTCTAATGGGACAGACACAAGGCGGGGCTGTCTGTTCACTCATGCGTATAACCGTGTGGGTATTATTAATTTGTCTCACTTTCCTCCCAATAATGTTTTAGCTAAGGGTTGTGCAATCAGGGGTGGGGAAAAAATGACGTTTTTTAAACTTTCGTTTAGGTTGTAGGCGTAGCAGAATAGCATGTGAGAGTTCGATTGTGTTTTTATAAGCGCGTAATTTTGTGTTCCTTACAGCAGCTATTACATTCCAATGAAGACATTCCCCCCCCCCAGTCGTGATATGGCGTTACGTCATGTTTTCCTATATACTTGTGTATATATTCGTGGTCACCATTTCATTTGTAATTCGGCAATCATGCAATTATAGTTTAATGATTTCTCTCGCGCTCTGAAGGCACTGCGATGTTATCGTTGAAACATTGCTATATTTTAATGGAAGTCAATTTCATGCTAGTTAGATTTAGGGGCGCGGTTATAGTGAGGTTATAACGGGTTATCACCAATTCCAATCGAATTGTCGCGAAATATGCTCCTCGTTAGAGCAAAGTCAATAACATAATACAGAGGCTAAACATTATTCATAGGTAGAACATTCGGGGTATTCATGTAGACTGATAGTCCATGTCTTACTAAAGGTAAGTGCACGAAACTGCTATAAAATAGCACAATATCTAAATAATGATGTTAACTAACTGTGTCAATTAAGAATATCAATTAAATTGATAAACTAGATCGATCTGAGTGAGAGGTTACTGTACGAACTATAGGTTACATTACTTATACGACACACACCGTAGTAGTTTATGCGCACACTTTGATTTACACATTCCAACGGAGAGTTTCGAGGGTTCCATGTTTAACTACGCGTACTTCTGTGTCTCGTTATAAAATTCTCTTCTATGAGTCTCTCCCACCGTCCAGAATCTCTCGGCAGATTTCTTAATATATGTACATTTAACGTTATTCTCGAAGGTATACATAGATGATAATTTAATGTGGCTGTAAATATTGCATTACTGTACTCGTAATATGCATATTTTAATAGTTATCGCCGTTAGTTTATATAGCATCATATAGAATCACGACACAGCCTGCGTTAATACGTGTGTATTAATACGTGGGTAATAATACGTGTGTGTTAATACGTGCGTGTTAATACGTGGGTAATAATACGTGTGTGTTAATACGTGC